TCTGAAATGAGTATCCACTGTTTTTATAGTACATTCTATCTATACCTGAACCTTAAAACTTCAGCATCACTTTCCAAACTTGCAATCTCTATCACTTAAAAAGACACGAGTGACAAAACTTCAGGAATATTACTACTTCCAAGTTCGTTGCAACATCATGTACCATCTCAACTTGGAAATGTAATGCTTTCCTCCATTGGTATTTGGCCAATATTCTACAGTTCTCAACTTGACATTATTATGGGGGCACTATGACCATGAAAAGCTTTACTACAACCTCGGGATGGCTGGCAAAATAAATGCCAGTGTTTTCCACATTTCTCCCATAGATGGTACACAAATATATTTGAAATACTGGGTTCAGTTGTAGATAACTGACAACAGGCCTCTGTCATAATATTTTGATATCAGCCAAGCTTTCAAACAAAGGAAAGGGTCTGGCCAAAATTGGGGACCACACATCAGGTCATGATCATAACTGGCATTCCAAGGCCGAAAGTTAACCACAGTACTAAAAGTACAGCCATTTCCTACTGTAATAAATTAAAAACAAGAATTGCAGATGCTGGAAATCTGAAACAAAAACAGAAGTTACTTGAGAAACTCTCAACTTCTCCTCCACATATACTGCCAGATCTGCAGAGTTTCTCCAGCAATTTCCATCCACAACTATTTATTTCTAGATCATAGTGATATAATACGGGATTGAGGAAAAGGTAGAATAGCATATTCCAGACTCGGGAATCAGTGTTCAAACCTAATTTGGAATGATGGAGTGAAAGACTGAATGTATTGAAACTAAGAGTTTGTGGTATTAGTTGCACCTAAATAATCTGTGCTGTGCTTAGTGAAGGACATATCGTTGACTCTTTGATTGCTTTCAAAAGAGAGAATTTCATTTCCTAGCACCAACTTTTCACACTTTACTGCATACAAGAAGAAATCAGCATGGTATTTCATAATACTGATAAGGATACAGGTAACCTGCCTGCACACAGCCCTCACAAGCTTGTCAACTCCATTGTGGGAATAGGCTTTTTAATACACATGGGATTAGTCCCTTCAGTGCGTATTTAGAGTTCATGGCCTTTAAAAGCAGATGTGAACCACAGGAGAACCCTACAAGTGGGGAGTGAGGAAAATTGTCATTTTCTCTTAGAATTCTTTCATCAACAGTCTCTTAAATATAAATTTTAAAAATAACATTTTTTCCCTTTTAGGGTCAATAGTTAAAATGTACTGTAATTAAATGTGTTTTTACTGCAGTGATTGGGATCTCCAGTGTAATAGTCTGAAATGATTTAAACGCCCAGTCATTTTAAAATGATAGAAATAAATAGCTTTGCAGCATTCACTTAGAAGAAAAGCTCCATGAGTCCTGGGTTGCTTTGTTTGAACGGATGTGTGGTGAAACTTAGGCCATTAAAACCCATTTGCTTCTCAATATTAATGAACTCCATTATTTATATTTCCCAGAATTTGTTATGATAGCTGAGCCCATTATGAATGCTTAGCAGAGTTCTAACAGGTCAAAACCACTTATCTCAACCAAGGGCTGTATATGATACATTGACAGCTTTAAGATGTTATTAAAGCATTAGATATCTTTGTGGTTAGTAAAGTTAATGTCTGTTTGCTTTCACAGCAGATTAACCACTTGAGAGGATTTAAATTGTTTTGGAATGATTGTTTTGAAGGAGTAATTTTATGTTATTTTATTATGCTAATCTCTTTAAAAAAAGATTGGCTTTTTAGCTTATTTTAGTTAACCATTTCAAAGACATTACAGTGTCCGCCCATTGTTGATAATGGGTGAATGGCAATGGAAGATACTTAGAGGCATGAGAGAGCATGAAAGATATGAGGGGAAATGAGGCTATGAGGGAGAATGGATGCATCAATGAGGGTTTGAGAGTCTGATATTTATCACTAAAAGTAGGACAATGCCCCAGCAAATGGAAATGGAAGTTCTAGCCTGCTGACCTGGTCACGTGCCTGCCTTTAAAAGGTGTTGGTAAGTAGAGTAGCAGGGGGTCTTTAAGGAGTTGGATCTGCTGGGTTGGGAGACTTTTCGACTCAAACTTCCTGGGAAAACGCAACCCTTTTATGATATGTCTGGCCTAGTCCTTGCAAAATATTAAATCATACAATGTATTTGGATTTGCAGAAGGCATTTGATAAATTTTCACATAAAAATGATTGTATAAGATTAGAGCTCGTTATTTTTTAGGTAATATATTAGCATGGATTAAGAATTGGTTAACACACAAGTCAGAAAACCAGGATTAATGGGTCTTTTTCAGGTTGGAAATTCTGAAACTAACAGAGTGCCACAAGGTTCAAAAGGTGCCTACGGCCTCGCTTAGTTATCACCTATATTAATGAGTTGAAGTAGGGGATAGAGTATAAGTATCCAGATGTGCTGATGATACAAAAAGTTGGGTGGACATGTTGTGAAGAAGACATAAGGATGCTATGTGGGAATATAGATAGGTTGATGGAGGGGGAAAACTTGACAAATTGAGTTTTGTATAGGAAAGTGAAAGTTCATGTAGTTCGATGGGAAGAATCAAGATAGACTATCATTTAAATGAAGAGAGACTCCAGAAAAGTACGACGCCAGGCGATCTGGGTTTTCTTTGCATGAAACACAAAATGATAGCATGCAGGTGCAGCAAGTAATTAAGAAGGCGAATGGAATTTTGGAGTTTAAAAACTGGGAAATCTTGATACGACCGTACAGAATGTCGGTGAGGCCACACCGGGAAAACTGTGTCCAGTTTTGGTTCCCTGTTTAAAAAAGGATATATTGACATTGTATGGCATTGTAGGCTGTTAATAGAGTATTAAAAAGAGGTTCACTAGGCTGATTCCTGGAATGAATCATTGAAGTATCATGAATGGCTAAACATAGTTAGGGTTAGAGTTAAGCCTTTATCCACTAGAGTTTAGAAGAGTGAAGGTGATCTTATTAAGATTGTGTTGGTTCCGAGGGGGTTTGACAGGGTAGATGTTTCCAATAGTGGTGCAATCTCAAACTAGCGGATGTAGTTTCAGAATAAAGGAACACTGAAACATACAGGAATTTCTTTCAAACACTAATGAATATCTAGAATTTTCTACTCCAGAAGAGTTGTGGAGGCTAGATTATTGCAAGTATCTAAAGAGGAGGTAAGTAGATTTTTGAAATATCAAGGAGTTGAGGGCTGTGAAAAACACAGTAAAGGAATTGAGGCTTGGGGCAGATCAGCCATGATCTTCTCGAATACTAGGCAGGCTTGAAAGACTGAATGACCACCCCTGCTCCTACTTCTTATGTCCTTTTCCTTGCTGAGTTTTTAATGCAAGTGAAGCCACGCTTAAACATAATTGAAACAATTAACATGTAAATGGCCATTCCTTTAGATACTGGGAAGCTTCCTTTGATACTTTAGGTTACTTGCATAAAACTCCCTGTTGGCTACTATGAACAGCGCTTTAGACAAACTCAACTGGTTCTTCAGGAAGAAAATCTTTCCACAACACAGTCTTCAGTTTGCTCTTAAATTGGTAGTCTTGTTCAGAGAAGTTATGAGTAGCTTGATGAAATAAAAAATATAAACCACCTTCTTTCATATCACTTAATTGATTATCTTTTCAGAAGCATCTTATTGAAGTTGTTCATTGTGTGTTATTCTCCAGTTCTGATATCTTAATCAAGTCAAATGCTCAATGTAATCAATCATTCTTGACACTGTAAATGGCATTTCAATAAAACAGAATAATTAGGGAAATTTCAAGTAGCACAATTTGAAAGGCCCATCTGCCTATGTACTTAAAGATAGTCACAGGTGCAATAGTGATCTCATTGTGGATCATTTTATCAATTCTACCTGGTGAGAAATTGATTGGATCAGATTGGTTCTTCATTATTCATTTCTCATGTGGAAAATAGCATCAGTCAGCCTGTAAAACTGGGGGTAAACTCACTTGTAGCAGATTCACACCAGATGTCCTCGGCTAAAATGAAGTGCCTCCATTGTGTCTGTCTCTGAGTAAAACAGTGATTTATACAAGTGAATGGTGCACTTTATATTATTGTGAAATGACTGTCAGTTGGTTAGGTTTCCTAACCCACAGACATGCAATTATGAGAGAGTTGACAGTTATAAAGTATTACATTTTCAGGAATTATTGGCTGAGTTTGAGAGTGAAGTTTATACATGAATGTAGTGCTGTAAGGGATTTGCTTGGAGCTGCTTTGACCTGTGGGTTCTTTCTTGATTGGTAAGGCTAAGCATCACAATAAATTTGTATTTATCTGACAATGACTGACTGACCAGACTCCCAATTCCTGGTGAATTTTGCATCTTTTGAAACATGTATCAAATATAGTTGTTCATTTATTTGGATGCTTAAGCATAAAAATGCAGCTAGATAGTTGCATGAGTTTTATGGCTATCCTACCCTTAACTAAGTGTGATATCCTGCTCTGCTAATTCCTTAGGTAGCAGAAATGGCTGTAATGACCCATACAACTTGTTGCCTTAAAATTCATGAAAGTTGTCATGCCTTGTTACATCAGAAATTGATGAGTACTTCTCTGATAAGAATGGAAGGTTAACCAAGTCTAAAGTACAGCATTTATTGCTGAGAAGATGGGCACATTCACCTTAGTAAATCCCCATGGACTTTCTGCCAGAATTTTGTTGCTGAGTGCATTAAAGTCTAAGAAAAGATTCCAGCTGAACAGCAAATGCTATTACAGAGTCCTCTTTTCTTGATAAGTATGCAATCTAGTTTTATATTCTCTTAATTGTTTTAAGAACTGCTGTGCTACTGTGAGAAAGTACATTGAATATAAAAACAGCAGAGGGTAGCTTGCAGAGGTGTATTAGCTATTTCAAATACAGGTAGGGAAGATAGCTGACAAATGTTACACACAGTATACAGCATTAATCCTGTCACCATTCTGTGAAAATTGTGATTACTGAATGTATTAAATGATTTTCTGAGTGCAGAATTTGAGAGTGGCGAGCCAGAGATTTATCTTGAAGCTATCTCAAAGTCAGACTGTGAAGACTGGATTGCAGCACTCCGAGAGGCAAACTGTGAAGGCTTGCAAAGGAGAATTGCACACCTCCAGTATTTCATTATGGAAATCAAAGCGAATACAAGCCCAGATGGAATCAACCAAATTCTCCCTCTACCAGAGATACCATCTCCACTGATAAGTAAGATTTACAGTGCATGATACGTACTGATTAAAAATGAGTTAAACCATCTAAAAGCCTTAAGGCAACATTTATGGTTTGATTAATGATCTGATTAAAATTAAATTGAAAATTACAATGTTCTAATTATACATCAAGGTTAATTTTTATCAAATCAAATGAAATAAATCATAATGGAACTTAGGTAAAATGATTTGTTTTTAAAAATAGATTTTAAAAATGAAATTCGACCAATAGGACTTAAATGGTACAAGTGGTATAAGGATGGCATTTATCATTAAATCTAAACACTGACACAACTGTTTCAGCAAAATACCTGCTTTAAAATATTGCTAAACAAAAATTGGTACAATTTAATTAGGTGTTTGTTTTACAATAATCAATCCCATCATTGCTGTCTCATGTTAACATTAGAATAAGTATGTACTTGGATCATTTAGCTCTGAAATGATAGCTGTAACTGCAATTTAATTCAGTTTATTATTATTTTGATTGATTCTACATGGTCTTTTGTTCAAATAGATTTACTTTGTAGTAGAGGTTCTGTTGTGTCTTTTTAACTTATTCTTTTAATAAACACTCTAATCAATCAGTTCTTTGAGGTGACAGAGGCATAACTTTTCTTCCTCAGGTAGGGATACCAACCTCACTATCCCAAAAATCATGATTCAAGCTCTAAAAAATTAAAAGCTCTTAAAAGATATATGGTATAAAAATCATGACTTTTTAAAAAGCATTAAACAATATTGATTGACAGCTAGTTAATAAGCCTCATTCATGGCTTACTAAATCTCTAATAATTTAGAGCTCTTTACAAAACTTATACTACAACTAAAAATGCTATACAAAACCTACCTGTTACCAGGTATAATTGTGGTTATCAATTTGCTCTATTTCTCTGAACTTGGCCCAAGGCCCTGAAAATGTAATTTTTTCAAGTTTTTATATATTGTACAAGGACTAATTCTTCCCTCCCTAGTCACTGCATATACAGGAAGTGAGTGATTGGTTTTGCACATAAGCTTGAGAAACCTTGGAAAGAAGCAATGCCCACAAGTGCAAACCAGAATTGGAATTGGACAGAGTAGCAGACCAGGTGAAATACATGAAAAAATAGAACTCAGATTTTGGTGACCTGGGATGTTTAAAATCTGTAGTGTCAGAGGAAGAAAAGAGAGAGGGAGGGCAGAGAAGTCCTCATTTTGATGATCTAAGCATGTCATTGTGCTGTGTTGCTTGTGGTAAGCTACTAAAGTCAAAACTAGCATTTTGAGGGCTGAACAGAGAAAGGTGAATACTTTTCTCATAGAGTGAAAGTCACGCCTGTCTCCTGACATGTCTCCCAGAGTGTGTCTGAATCTGCTTGAACTCAGGTAAGAGTTATAGGCAATCATACTTTGACACATGGTATAAATTCCTGTGAGGAGCAACTTCACTCAGGTTCTACACTTGAAAAAGCTTCTTTAGGTTACCTTTACAGTCAGCTATATGTTCTAGAGTACAAACATTTGCGTGGATGTGACCAATTGTCTACATTTGTGCAGCCCCTGATTGGGTACACATCTGTAACAGGATTGTTACAAGGATCTACATGAATTTGGAAAGGCAAGGACTGATTAGGGATTAGTCAACATGGCTTTGTGCACAGGAAAACGTATCTCCCTAACTTGATTGAGTTTTTTGAAGATGTGACAAAGAAGATTGATGAAGGCAGAATGGTGGACGTTGTCTACATGCACTTCAGCAAGGTTCCACATGGTAGACTGGTTAGCAAGTTTACATCACATGGAATCCAGGGAGAGCTAGCCAATTGGATGCAAAATTGGCTTCAAGGCAGAAAACAGAGGGTGGTTGGGGTGGGTTGCTTTTCAGACTAGAAGCCTATGATCGGTGCTGGATCCACTGCTTTTTGTCATTTATATAAATGATATGGATGTGAACATGGGAATGGTTAATATGTTTGCTGATGACACCAAAACTGGTGATGCAGTCAACAGCAAAGAAGATTATTTCAGAGTACAATGGGATCTTGATCAGCTGGGCAAATGGGTCAAGGAGTAGCGAATGGAGTTTAACTTAGATAAATGCAAGGTGTTGCGTTTCGGTAAGGCAAATCAGGGCAGGACTTATATACTTAACGGTAAATTCCTGGGGAGTGTTACCGAACAGAGAGACCTGGGGATGCAGGTTCAAATTTCCTTGTATGTGGAGTCCCAGGTAAATTGGGTACTGAAGAACGTGACTGGTGCACTTGCCTTTATTGCTCAGTGCATTGAGTATATGAGTAGGGATGTCATGTTATGCCTGTAGAGAATAATGGTTAAACCATTTTTGGAATACTGCATTCAATTCTGGTCTTCCTCCGATCGGAAAGATGTTCTTAAACTTTTCTGCAAGGATGTTGCCAGGGTTGGAGGGTTTGAGCTATAGCGAGAGACTGGATAAGCTGGGGCTATTTTCCCTGGAGTGTTGGAGGCTAAGGGGTGACCTTATAGAAGTTTATAAAATCACAAGGGACATGGAGAGGGTGACTAGCCAAGGTCTTTTTCCCAGGGTAGGGAAGTCCAAAACTCAAGGGCATTTAAGGTGAGAATGGAAAGATATAAAAGGGATCTAAGGGGCAACTTTTTAACACAGAGGATGGTGCATATATGAAATGAGGTGCTAGAGGAAATGACGGAGGCTGGTATAATTACAACATTTAAAAGACGTCTGGATGGGTATGAATAGGAAGAGTTTAGAGGGATATTGGCCAAATGCTGGCAAATGGGACTGGATTAATTTTGTTTATCTGGCCAGCAAGGACAAGTGGGATTGAAGGGTCTGTTTCCATCCTATACAACTCAATGACTCAATGACTCTATAAGTCTAAAGTTCTTTCTTGTATTTCACACGTTCAGGAGAGAGTCTAAATTTAACTCAGAAATCGCTTATCTCATGATCACAGCTGGTATGTCTAAAGTAGGTTTCTTCTTCTGGTTGAATATTAGCTAGGAAAGAGGCAACTTTATGTTGCCATTTCTGGTTTTTACCTGGTTTTGGATTCCGGTTTTGTGATTGTTTGTAGTCTGAGGACAGAAACGATGGCTGCAGTGTTGTTTCTATCACTAGCCACAGAACGCACATTCTGGTGAGACCTATATTGAAGAGAAATTCTGCAATTATAAAATTGCATCATCATTTGCCATTACTTATTTCAATGTTTTTTGAATCAACGTATGAAAGAATATGAATTAGATTGTCTTAAAATTTTGATTATTTGAATTGGTTTTATTATTTCAATATATTGGTCCATCACTACTTATACCCCTCAACATTAAAGATAAATAAGCAAAATTAGCTGATGGTGGGAAGAGAATCATATGCTCTGCAAGCCTGCAATACTTTTACAAGTGATGCATAAAATAAATGGCTTTCAGATTTTGTCATAAAGGGCACTTATTGATTTCCTGTCAGAATTTTAAAAAATTGCCTGTTTACTGCAGCTTTTTTAGTAAATGTAGGAAGAAATGATTTGTACATAAACATGACAAGGGTTTACCTTGTAACTCATACTAAAGTATATTTATTTTTAATTGTGGAAAAATAAGATAGTTGTTAGTAAGTTCTCTTTATTTACATTGATCTACAGGTATTGACAAAACTCCTTTTGAACCAAAGCTGGAATTCAGTCTTGGTAAGTTGAAAAATAAAGTTATCTCAATGTCTCAAGTACAAATAATATTGTATAACATGTTCAAATCTGTGTTCGGTTTTACAGAAAGTTTTCATAAATTGTCTCAAATGAACTCCTGTAATAATGAATTATTGCTTTCAAGTGTTTTGAATATTTTTTCAATAGTGTACATAATTACAGCATGCTTGGGCTAGATTAATCAGGATGCTGCAGACTCTGCTCCCCCCTCATCCTATGCTGAAAAGTCAGGAAGGTAGAATCCCACTCACGAATGCAGCAATGTGAAATTAAAAGCAACATTAGTTGCTTTAAGGTGGAACTTCAATTTCTTTCTCAGGACGAAACCCCACCTTGGAGAAATGCCAATGAATCAAATGGTGGGCGCTGCGTGGTCTCAGATGCACTAACCAGAAGTGGCGGCCCTGCAGGGACTGCAGGCGCGCCCACCATTATTGGGCAACCTAAGAATATCTAGGATCAGGGTCTCAGTGATGATGAATGCGGCTGAGTTTAAGATTCCAGAGTGTTAAAGGGCAGTGGGGGAATAACCTTAGTGGGCTTCGTCTCTGAAAGTTCCAGTGTAACTGCAAAGGAGGTAATTTCCCACCTCCTGACACCAGTCATGCAGTTCCAACTGCTGACTGATAGCCTGGTTTGAGCCTCCCCCTATTAATTCTCCAAAAGAGCATCATTAGGCTCAATGGTGAATGGCCACCCCCAATCTCAAAATTTCAGACAGGTCAGGGGCAAGGGGGTAGGTAGCAGGAGGGCCACCCATAGGATTTTATGTGCTCCACGCCTGCTTTCAAGTCATTATGAAGTCTAGTCCCTTTTGTTTCCATCCAACATGTCAAGGCAAATAGCAAAATGTGCAGTTTTATTTATGGATAGTAAGCACTGCAGATGCTGGAGTCAGAGATAACACAGTGTGGAGCTGGAGGAACACAGCAGGCCAGGCAGCATTTCTGAAATTTCTGAAGAAGGGTCCCATCCCAAAATGTCAACTTTCCTGCTCCTCTGATGCTGCCTGGGCTGCTGTGTTCCCCTAGCTCCATACTGTGTTATTCCAGTTTTATTTATGCTTGCTTTTCAGGCAAAATATTCTGATAATTTCTAAAGTATAAAAATGTTAGATTAATGATGCCCAACATTTTTGACCTCTGGTGCCATTGTAAATCTTCCTTTAGGTATTGAGATAAAATGAGGTGCAGCTGTTTACAGGACAACATCTCCAAAAGCAACATATTGCATTGAGCTCATTGTTATGCTTTTCATTTGATAATGAGGCCCCTTATCTCTGTCACCAAAAATGTATCTGTGGCTCCATGCTATTTCACATCCGCACCCCTTCACTGTCTCCACTTGTCTGGCGTGCAGAACAAGATGAACAGAAATTGCATGTAATGAAATATTAGGAAGGTTGAAGACTTTGCTTTTGGTGCCAGCCAAAAAAATTTGATTTTCAGTTGCTGACTCCTGCCTTTTGCCTGCCTGAAGCTGAACCAGATTGTTCTCAGCTTTAGTGCCATTTTTGACGCTGTGAAGAATTTCTAAATGCAAAGAAATGCCATCAGTAAGATCACTTATTCCACTTGTCCAATGTTGTCCAGTTTCTGTTCACCAGCTTAATTCTGGGATATGGCAGGATTTTCTTATGAGAAGAGGTTGATTAGTTTGGATCTATACTCAATACAGTTGAGAAGAATGAGAGGTGACCTTATAAAACACACAGAATTCTTAGAGGCTTGACAGAGTAGATGCGGAGAAGTTGTTTCCTCTGTGAGAGAGTCTAGGATACAACATTAAATGAGTTAGCATAAATTTGGCAGATGGTAAATAATGTGGCAAAATGTGAGGGTGTGGAGGAAGAATCTAGAAGATGAATATTATTTAAATGGAGAAAAACTGCAGAAATCTGTGGCATAAAGGGATTTTGGGGGTCCTTGTCCATGAATTACAAAAAGCTAGTATTCAAGTTCAACAGGTAATAGGGAAGGCAAATGTAACATTGGCACTTATTTCAAAGTGGATTGGAATATTAAAAACAGGGATGTTGTGATCAAACTGGACAAGGCACAGCTAGACTATACCTTGAATGTTGCAAACAGTGTTGGTCCCCTTATCTAAGGAAAGGTATGCTGACATGGGAGGCAGTCCAGAGAGGTCAGTCCTAAGCATAGAAGGATTTTGCAAGAGAATCTAGGAGCAGAGGGCATAATATCAGGTAAGGGGTCACCCAATTCAGACATATGAGGAGGAATTTCTTCTCTTTGAGAGTAATCAATCTGTGGAGGTCTTTACCAAGGAAAGCTATTCAAATACAGCAAACGTTTTATTAATCAGCATCTAAGGAACCAGGATTGTGCAGGTTGATCAAATATTCTGACTAATTGCAAGGTGCACATAACTGCAGTAAACCCTGACCAAGCGAAGCTTTGGGACATCAAAATCCCTCAAAAAATCTATGTAAAAACACACAGTAAGTAATAAAAACATAATGCAGAGAATATACACATCACTGTTATACTTTATTTACAGCATAATAATTGGACATTGCATATATGAATTATTGCTAATTTATCAACAGTGCTGGTTGATAAGGTGCCAGTTAAAACAGTTTGCTGTATATTCAAAACAGAGATAGACAGATTTTTATTTAGTAAGACAATCGAGAGTTGTGGGGAAAAGACAAAAAGAGAGTTGAGGATTATCAGATCAGCCATGATCTCATTAAATGGTGGCACAGACACAATGGGCAAATGGCCTACTTCTGCTCTTATGTCTTAGGGCCTCTGTCCCTGCTTCAGCTCACTTGCCATATTTAAACTGTTATCCATTCAGGAATTTCTGTAACCTTCACCATGTCTCCAGCTCTCAGATTTTGATATGTTTCACTTATAAACTGCTGGACACCGCTGATATATGCTGTACTTTAGATGGCCATAGCTTTAGGTGTGAAAGTCTTAAGCTCTGAGAAAACGCTTTAAAATCTCCCTCTTTGCTGAGCTTTTGATCACCTACCTTAGTATCTCCTTATGTGGCACCGTAAGAATTTTTTTGATAATGCTACTTTTTAAAAATTTATTGAGATGTGGATATTGCTGGCTGGGCCACGTTTGTTGGCCAGCCCTAGTTATCCTGGAGAAGGTGGTGGTGAGCTGCTTTCCTGAGCCACTGCTGTCCATTTTGACTCAGAAAGTCTCCTGTGAAGCACTTGGGATATTTTGATTTTGTACATTGAAGACTTATAATCCAAGTTATTTTTTTTTATGTATGAAAGGCATGCCAATGCATTTTATTTAAAATGCTATTTAATTTGTATATGTTTCTTTTAAAGTAAGTGAAATAACGTTTAGTTAAACTTTAGTTAATTAGTGTCATGTTGCATGGGTTAAAAAGTTGATTTTATGTTCAGGATACTAAAGATTATGAAATCCAAGAGCTCCTCATATACTTGTAGCTTTAATGGACTAACAGATTAGTCCCTGCATGAACAATTGTCATGCAGAAAATGGGTGCAAAAAAGACTAGCTGAACATACATTGTCCTGCATTAGCACTGTCATAATGGTAAAGGGAGCTTTGCAGACATCCTGGGCAGTCAACCAAAACAGGGCCCTTTGTTTCGAATTTCAGTCAAAGAATATTTCAAACATGCAGGGGTTAGCTTCTGACACTTCAGCTTTATATCCCACGTATGAAGTATATGCAACAGTTAATCATATAGTGCTTAAATTCAGATGTTTCTGTTGCAAAAAAATACTTGTTACGAGCATATTAATACAATTAACTTTCTCTTAAAAGATTTTATGATTTCAAAGGATTTTTGTCAAGATAAAATACACTGTGGCAAAATATGACTGACACCTTGCCATGTAAGAAACATGTTAAATAGCTGCCGCTTTGATTGAGGCAGCCTGTTCTTTTAATGTAGCTGCTACATAATCCATCACATTCACTAAAATCTACCAGCCAGTCATTTGTTTTTCAACTTATTAATACAATGCAGTTATTTCTATAGTTTAAACACAGTAGTAAGACTCCTATAGCATTTAACTACTGCTGAATAGCAAAGACTAAAATTAACTGCGGTGCTTTGTGACCCTTTATATTCAAGGGTAATACTTTTATATATCTGCACCATTATTGCTGCAACCATTAGGTTCAGTGTTTGAATATTCATTATGATGTTATTCCAATGTTCTATGTTAAAGCAATCATCATGTATCTGCTGTCAAGAGTAGTGATGGTAGTTTGGAGACAGTGTCATTGCAGTTGAAATTGCACTTACTGTACTTGGCTGTCTTGCCGTAGCAATGTGAGCTTCAACTCCAACACATTTGTGTATAGTCTGTGGCAACCATTAGGCATATCACTTGCGTCATCATGTTCGGAATGATGCATTTAGTAATGTGTGGATTTTAAGAGTTGTAACAGAGCTATCAACTGAAAGAAACAGCAAGGAAAAGTTATAAAAAATAACAGCCCATGCAAATTTGACTGGATGAGTCAAAATGTTGTGAATTATCCACTCCTTTCTGTTGTTGAAATCAAAGGAGATGTGAAACAGAGTTGTGATTTTTTTAATACTCCTCGTGGCAAATGTATGAAATAGCGACAAAATTAATTAAAACAAGCCAAGCATGTAAGTGTTAGTACTAGATGAGATTGCGACAAGCTGTATTGCAGCATAAATCACACTGAACAGCAGATGAGTGCAAGCTCTGAAGGCTTTGAAGATATACTTTGAACCCCATATTAATTCAAGATCACAGGTCAGGGAATGGGAAACTTGATCACTGTGGTATAGGAGATATGGTTTGTACGTTTGCAGATGACACCAAAATTGGTAATGAAGTAGACAGTGAAGAACATTATCTCAGAATACAACAGGATCTTGATCAGATGGGCTGATAGGCTGAGGAGTGGCAGATGGAGTTTAATCTAGACATAAATGTGAGTTGCTACATTTTTGTACAGCAGATCAGGGCAGGACTTATA